TAAACATAATATCAAATTCTGAATTAAATTAGTATATTTGTCTTGTAATGATATTCAATTCAGATTAATTGTTCAAAATACTGTTATTTTATAACTTCAATAAGCCACAAGTTCAAATTTACAATCTATTATTTTGAGAAACTTCAATGCTCCTAATAATAGCTTACATTCTTCTTTCATCAAATACAAACTATTACAATTTTTTTAATATAATAACATGTATGACTTAGTTGCTTATATTTAATCATTAACTAATACTTAGTAAAGCAGCTAATTTCAAAGTTAAATTGACTACATCTGAGCAAACCATTTAATTATTTACTATCTCACCTTATACAATACTGATAACTCTAAAATTAATACAAATAATAATCATAAAATTTTAATTTTCTCTTAGTCTTTTTTTTATTCTTATTCTGACAAATGATGTTTTGTAACCAAAACTTGAAAAAGAATATTTTTTTACAAAAAAATAAATGATGAACTTTAGCAATTATATACTAATCAGGTGGCTACTAATTTTAGTTCTAAGCATATATCTATAACTGTTAATACAATAGAATCCTTAAAAACAACAAGACACAAAATTCAGACCAGGATTATCTTAGTTACTCTTAAACATATTTTTAACAAAAAAGTTACAATGTACAATTTTCAACATATATATTTTGCCAAAGCTTTCTTGTTACATTATAGTCTTAAAAAGCTAGAAAATATAATTTAACAAATTAAAATCTTATTACAAAATCAAACACCTATAGTTATACAACTTAATAACATAATTCAACAACTTAATAATACTGATAATTTTACTATTTCTTTTTTACTAACCAAATATAACCTACTAACTGACTAGATCTCAAATGCTAATGATAAATAGAAAGTACTTTATCATGCATATAATATTAAAAATATTAAAATAATTAGACAACAGATTAATGAAAATATAGCCAAAAGATGTAATAAACTTCAGTCTTAACTAAAATTAATAATTAATAGCATATTAAATTATTACAAAGACCTTGTAAAGTTTAACAACATCAAAACAGATCATGATATTGTTACAGAAGTACAGAAAATTAAAACACATATCCAATAATACTTCAATTAATAAACAGCATATAGACAAATTAATTAACAAATTTATAACTCTTCTTAGTACAATTAATATCAATCTAAAACAAACATTTATTTAGAATGATATTAAAAGATATTAGCAAAATTTTCTAAAGAAGAAATTTCTAACATATTTATAAAACTTTCAAATAATAAAGCTTGTGACCCTTTAGGCATAAGTTATGAAATATTTAAATATGCAGGTTTACTATTTCTTCAAGCTATAACTGCCTTATTTAAAAATGCATTTTAACTAACAGTGTATTCAAACAATAGAAAGAAGAAAAAATTTTTTTTATTTTCAAAATATCTATTTTGATGAAAGTTTAATTAATACTAGACCTATTAGTCTTTTAAAACATATTAAAAAATTATACACCAAACTTCTTACTAATTGCTTAAACATTACTTTTACTTTATATTCAATATTATCTTTCTATAATTATATTGCTCTTCCTAGTAACAGTACAGCAATACCAATCCATATACTTAATAATATAATCAAAAAAGCCTTTTGCAATTCTGGCTTATATCTCAGAATATGAGCAAAGCCTATGATTTAGTAAACTCTAACCTTTTTACAAGTTTTTAATACAAATCAACATACCACCTAAATTAGTAGAAGTTCTTACTAATCTGCTTGATGATTGCCACAACTGTGTTATAACTAATTTTAGATTCACAGACTTATATTTTGTTAAAAATAAAATTGATTAAGAAGAAACAATTATATCATTATTTTGGCATATTTACTATGATCCTCTTATTTACAGAATTGTATCTTAATTTACAGATTATAGTCTTTTAACATTATAGAAAACCAGTTTACAACCTCCTTAACATCAATATTTTCAAGTCTTTATCTTAGTTCTTGCTTATATGAATAACATATTATAAATTGTTTAATTCAAAAACAAGTTAGAACAAATTACTTAAATGGCAGCATTCTTCTACCAAATGGCCAACTTTCAGATTAATCCTACCAAGTCAATATTTGCCACAAATACTAAACCTATTTCTATTATCTTTTTTAACTCTACTTTCAACTCTATTTTTAATAACCAATCTTTCAAATACTTAGATTGTTGATGCATACTTAACAACAAACAAACCTATACAATCAAATTAATTCAAGAAGAAGCTTTTTAACTAATTAATATTGCAAACACAAAAAACATTACAGACAAACAAATTACTTATATTATTAATACAGTTATTATTGCAATATTAGAATACAGATATATAATAATATTTTTTCAAAACTATATATAATCACATACTGGCTAAATATCTTACAGTTGCTAAACACAAATCTTATCTTGTTTGATCAATTCCTAATAGTACAATGCTTCACTCTTATCTATACAATATATATAATATTTGAGATATACAATTACAACACCATATTACTACTTTTCTTTAATAAATTAATAATTCCTATTTACTAGATGTTTTTATATGAATTAGATTACAACAGCTCCAAAACAACCTTTGGTTTACTATAAACATTCTTGAACATCCTCAACCTAATGTTGATGGTTAAGATAAATATACTTTTAATTTTAAAATTATTCAATTATTTTTACAAATTGCTGTCTCTATTAGAGCTAATAGTAATATATTATGGCCAAACACAATTCATTATTAGCTTCAATCTTTTAAACTTATTTTTCAATACCATCCTAAATATACAACTTTTAAAAAACAATTTAGATAACTAAATCTACTTTACTTTGAACAACTTTGCATCTTAGACAATATTATACTTCTTGAATAGCTATATCTATCATTAAGAATTTTTTATTTGCCTAAAGGCAGAAAACCTATCTGGTTTACTAAACTTGAAAATTTTATTATAGAAAATCATTATTACCATTCTCTTAAACCTCAATACTAATAACAAAAAACTAATTTCTTTGCATATAATATATACAATATTCTCAAAAAACATAAACCATAGCTAATTACTTTCAATTATGAGAAAATTATTATAGGCAAAATTTGTAAACATCTTACAGATTCTAACCAAATATCAATTACATACTGGCAAACAAATATTAATATAAATAATTGTTCAGAATGTAGTGAAAGACTTATATTTTAGCTACTTAGCCAACTTTTGTTCATCTGTTTATCCATGTGACTACATGATGTCATGTGACACATACTAAATGTCTGAGCTAAATTTTGTCTGTCTGTTCATCCATGTGATCATATCTTATTATATGATACATACTAGATGTCTAAGCTGAATTCTGTTTATCTGTCCATCTACATGATTATGCCATATCACATGATACATACTAGCCAAATTTTGTCCATGTAACTAGTCATAAAAATAATTGGACAATTTTTTTTAATTTATTTCAAATTTACAACAGCACCTGTTTTTTTAGTATTATCATATTTTTGTAACATGTATACCTCTCTGTAGGCTGTACTTTGTAGCAATTTTGAATAACAAATTATGATTTATACTTGGATATTAATTATGGTGTTTCTTCAACATATGCATTCTCTTATAAGTTGTATCCCATCTCAGGAAACCTATAAATAAAAAAATTTCAGCCAATCAACTTTCAAGATCAAAGATAACATAGCTTTTATTGATATACTATTTTAGGTTGTTTTTTTTTGGTATTAAGGTGACCTCTTTGGTCTTTTGACTTTTATTAATCACTTATCAGTATTGTGGTTCAATGAACCACTACAGGAGAGCATACAATTGGCTACACATGTAACTTTTCTATATTACCTATTTAAGGAGTCTGTCCAAAAGTTTCCTACTAATTGCCATATCTAATACCCCTGCTTGGGTGTTTCACTTTAAACTCTCTAAACCTGTAATCTGTATTAATATCACTGGGTTATCCCAGATGCCCAGATTATCATTTCAACCTTAGGACTAATTTATCCTCAAGGTAAACCCCCTAGAGCCTTCTGTACCTATTTTTACAGCTGACTTAGATATCACTATGGCAGAAACAATACTTGCAGTCAAGGCTAACCATTAAACTGCTATGCCTTTGTAGAGTTCACACAAACTTCAGCATCTACTTTACAGCATATCCGGAATACTTTAGTATACTCCAGCCAGTTTACCAAACTTCTAATCCAGATAGTTTGATAAAACTTATGACTGGTTCATTGGTATATTAGGTCAGTCTGATATCCTTTTTCTCTGGTTCGATCTAGCAGCCTGGTTAGTGATACCTCCCACCTAGAGGTTTTTGTCTGTTCAGCTATTTCAATCTTGGTATCTGTTTCATAAGACTAACCTTTACAGTAGGGCCATCGAAGATTTGGCTATCTCTTTACTCAGGTCTTCCCAAATAGACTTCTTATTACCCAATTTCAACGGATTTACACAGTCACAAGGACTTATCTAATGTTTGCACCACCCAATTTGTTAAATTGCATTCCTCTGTGTAATACCATACTTACACAGATGCTTCATAACCTGCTAGTCATGCTGATGTGACTGCTATTACAAGTATCTTAACCCAATCATTAGTAACAGTTACCATAATATGAATATTACATAGGTGATTATCCAAATTTTTCACTATCAATGGGATTTGAACACCCAACCTACTACTTAGAGGGTTGACAACCTGACCACTTCACTAGGTCACTACACCCTGATATACTATTTTAGTATGATATCTGCATAGCAAATTTTAATTAAAAAATTAGCACTAATCCTAACTCTAATTATAGCTCAAGATAACATAATAATAATAGAAAAAAAATTATAATTACAAATAATATAATTAAAAACTTTGTATTTTATTTTTACTGCCAATATCTATAAACTTAATACTTTATTATCATATCTAGAAATTAATAGAATTAAAAAAAAAAAATCTAAAATTTTATTATTTCTAAGCATTATTGCTATCTTCAACTTCTTCATATTTCTCATTCTCAATATTATCAAAATTTATTGCCTCAGAATTTTCATTATTTTTCCTTGCTAACTCATTTAGTTCTTTATAATCAAACATTAGATCATTCTTTGTTTCATTTATTTTAATCAAGACATTACAACACTTGAATGATTTTATAATTAAACAAAGATTAATCTTTTTCTATAAATTCATTATCTATTGAGCAAAAGTAGCATATGATGGTTTTCAAAAATGTTCAGCTAGTGTTAATTTATAAATCATTTTAGACATCTATTCATTATAGCAGCAATGTATCTAAAAATTTAAAACTTTATTAATATTATATACTTAACAGTGATGTTTAACAAAACTTATAGTTTTATTAGGCATCACTAATATTAAATACAAATAGAAAATTTTTATTATATATCTTATTCTTGAAGCTCTTGTTAATCGCAATATCCAGAAGCTAAAGCCTGCTAGTTAACCCTTCTGGAATTACTGTAAGGTGAATGTTGTCTTTTTTAAAAAGATATTTGACAGAATCTACTAAGTGACTCCAAAAGAAGTTTAAAACAAGAAGAAACTGTGGCTTTGCCACTTCACTACACTTAGTCCAAATGTTACTAATCCAATAATGCATCTTATACTCATTGCACTATCTTTTATTATTCATTCTTATGACTATATTCTAAAGAAATACTTTACAGAAAATAGTTTTTAGTTTAAAAATACATATCAGTGGAAGCTTTATTTTATTCACAAGGTACCTGAGAATTACTATAAAGTTTGTTCTTTTATGTTTAGTAGTTCTAATACTTACTGTTTTAGATCTACATTTTTTAATAGTAACCAGACTAGGCATATCAAAAGACAGAGAAGTTTTGTCCATATTTCCAATAAAATTAACAGGAAAATTGTATTACCAGCATTTGAACAAAATGAAATTCAAAAATTCAGTTTGTTTTTTATCAAGATTAGCTAGAAGATGCTGTAAAACTGTTGTATATCTACAGTTTAAAAAATTATAGTGATACATGAACTAACTTAACCAGTTTTTGAAAAACTTATAGCTATTAATATTAGAATAAACATTTTTAAATTTATTAGTTTGGGCTAATGCCTTATCCTTTTTTATAACTATGTTTTGAGTGATGGCATTTTGCTTATTATGGTGACTATTAATCTATTCAATCAGCCTTTCTTCAAACATTGAATACTAGGCCTGTTTACTGTGATTAAAGGTTAAAAGGTATAATGCAGTGTTTAGAAGTTTATTTTTTTTGTTAATCCAATTGTGAACTTGCTTTAATTCTATTTCAAATCATCTTGCAGTTGCCCTCACATTGTTAGTTTGCTCATAATAACAAATAACTATGAGTTTTTCTTTGACAGTTCATGAGCAATGGTTTTTACTAGTAATACAAGCATGTTTTTTGTTATTGCTTTTTCTTGGAGACATTCTTAGTGCTGAAAAGTTTGTATATAGTACAGTATAAAAGCAGCTTTTTTTTTTTTTTTAAATACTGATATCATAGTCATGAGTCATCATGTATTATACATGAGTTACAGAATTAAAGGCCATATTCATAATCAGGATATAAGAGGCATTAGGAAATAAGAGAAACTGAAATAAATATTGTAAAAATTGATAATTTTATAATAGTCTTGAAGATCTTATATAGCATTATAATTTTATGACTCATACATAATATGTATAAATATAAAATTGAAAAATTGGCTATATGGTCACATTTGGTTAATAAAAAAAAATCAACATATGTATCTACTATTAGTATAGTGTACTCCTCTTATATGAGTACTCAGATACAAAATATGAACTAGAAAAATACTCTAAGTACACATATCACAGAAATATAGTAATTACTATTCATTTCAACAGATTAATCTTGTTCTTTGTTCGGATTGTCAACTTAACTTACAACAAATAACTACATTATGCACTATTAATACTTCATCTATTACATTTGCCTAATTTTTTGATAGAATTATTTCAAACTCAGTTAAAATAAATGCAAATTATCTAGACCTTCTCAACTCTGCTGCAATTAAATGGCCTTTGCTAAATTTTTTATTACTATTATTGCCTTCTATTATTATCTCTAACTTCATCTTATCTGCAATTTTTGAAGAAAGTAAAGCAATTAACAAACTTAATTAAATATTCTTTAATAACCTACTACATAACTTATTTAACTTTTATACTAATGGTTTAGTAATTGATATAAGTACAAATAACTGTACTATGGGTATTGGCTAAGTTCAAATGGATTTTAATGACCAAGCATAGGTTGAAATAAAAAATATTAGTATTATATTAGTATGTTTTCAGTCCTAATATTAAACTGATATTAGTTAAAATTTGGCAGAAATCAGATATCTATAGAATATAAATCAGTGTTATATTAGCATTTATAAATATCAGCATTCTGATAGCTCTATAGATAAACCGATAGTACTTATTTGATAGTACTATCAGTTTATCTATAGAAATGCTGATATAACACTGATTTATATCCTATAGATATCTGATTTCTGCCAAATTTTAACTAATATTGGTTTAATATTAGGACTAAAAACATACTGATATGATACTGATATTTCTTATTTTAACCTGTAAAGTTATTTACAAATTTACTGCCAAAGTTCATCTTTGGCTATCATCTTACAAGGCTGAACTCTTCTCTATTCTGTCTGTTATTTCAACTACCTTCTGAAATTCTACAATTAACATCTATAC